CATTCCCTTGTATTACATAACAATCTTTGAGCTGAGGCAGTTATGGTTCTACAACTATCACCAGTTCTCTTGTTGTTTATTGAATATTACTTGTGGGTGGTACGAGAATTAAAAGAAAGAAAGAAAGAAGAGAAAGAAAGAAGAGAAAGAAAGAAAGAAAGAAAGAAAGAAAGAAAGAAAGAAAGGAAGGAAGGAAGAAAGGAAGAAAGAAAGAAAGAAAGAAAGAAAGAAAGAAAGAAAGAAAGAAAGAAAGAAAGAAAGAAAGAAAGAAAGAAAGAAAGAAAGAAACTTACATCACCTTCCTGTTATCGGTTCGGTTACATTCGGTGATGGTTTACCTTCACAATTCACATATTTCACTTTTTGTATTTTAATAGAAACAATATTTTATGCTTTCTCGAAAACATCAACCGTTTATAATGAACAACTATGTTCTATATGACCTTTGTCCCCATCTGTGGAAATGTTAGCTGTGGGTTCATATCTTTTTTTGTGTCGGTCTTTAGTCTCTGTGGTGGTATTTTAGTCATTTCTGATACATTTGGTGCCATTGAATTTGTTATTTTCAGACATTACAATTTATAACACCAAGCTTTCTGCGAGGTAAAATAAATGTTCAATACTTTAAAGGGCGGTAGTCGTCGCGCCACGCATGCGCGAGATATATAGGGTCATATAAACAAAGATGATGACTGTTGCGCAGATCAACGAGTACAAACTGAGACGTTAGGAAGGTATCGAAGGAGTTACCGGTGGTAAGCAGTGCGAGTCGCGCCCACGTAAAACATCATAGTGTGATTTCCATTAAAAGGGCGCATTGGATTGTGGGAAAAGCAATGTTTATCAACACAAATGTCGCACATGCGTAGCGCGACTTTAAGTAAAACTCACATTAGTCTTGTAAACAATAGAATACTAAGTAAAAGAATATATGTTTCTAGTTTGTTCATAAACACAATAAATATCCTTAAAACAAGGAAGGCCGGGAAAAGGAATATATCAGAAGTCAAGAATCTGTCAAATTCTCTTAGATTTGAAGTCAATAGGGCTTCCCTCAATCTGATTAAAAGCTGATACAATCTGCGCTGCATTTTTTTTTCAATTTCTTAGAATTTCTGTGTTTCACTTTTTTGTGCTCCTGAAACAATATGCGCAACATACCTCGGTTTACGGGATAATGGACAAAATTACGAAAAGAAAAAGCCAAAACAAAGATAGAATTGACTACGTTTTCATGTGTTTTTTGTTGAAAGCAAATGTCGCTGTCGAACCTTCGGTCGTGAAGAGAATATCGACTGATCTCTACTTTCAAATTCGTTGTCGCTAGTTAGTGATTTCTAACTGTCACTCAATCTGAACTTGTTGATTCTTACGTCATTGCTATCATATAAACCCATCGTTAAAATTCGCTAACTCAGGGTGAATACAATGTGTGACTCTGGCAATAATTTCGTTACGTTACGTTACGTCACATTGCATCACGTAACGCAACATCACGCCAAGTCATGCCACGTAACGTTAAGTCATGGTACATTATTTGACGTTACGGTTCCTCACGACACGTCATGTTACGTTACACAGTGTTGCGTTACGTCAAAACACACCACGTACTTTACTTTGCGTCATGTTACGACACATCACGTAACATTGCGTTACAACACGATGTGGCGTGACATGTTATGGTACGACACGACACGCTGCTTTACGTAATGTTGCACTACTTCGCGCCACGTTACGCAACAAAACGTAACGCCGCGTCCCAACACATGTTACGCATTGTTACGTTACGTCACGCAGCGTAACTCCGCCTATCGTAACGTTACAGCACACTACGCATTGTCTAATAACATTACGCTGCGCCACGTTATGCTACAACATGCCGCGCCAAGTAAAGTAACGTTACAACACGTCACGTTTTGACACGGTATACAACGATGCGCAACGCCACGTCACATTAATCAATGTTACGTTACGTTATGAAATAGAACAGAAATATTATATCAAGTCTAACCTACATCGCCAGATCACAGAATCATGGGATCAGTCGTGTGAGGATTGTTTTCTCTGTTTAAAACAAGTTCTTGTATCGCCACCTGTGTTAGGTTATCCATATTTCCCTTTATCTTGGAGACTGATGCAAGTTATAAAGTGTTAGGGGTAGTATTATCACAGAAACAAAGTACTAATCTTGGGTTATGCCAGTAATGGTCTTAAACCGAGTGCGCGTAATATACAAAATTACTCTAGTATGAAATTAGAATTGTTAGCATTGTATTAGGGAATTACTCAGAAATATCGTGCTGAATTTACGATTTTCATAGACCCTTTAATATTAATATTTGTTAACAAACGCTGGTAGCCGATTTAGCCCAGTTTAAATTTTCTTCTGGTAGAAGTGATCCAAATGCAGACATGCAAAGTATGCTAGACTTGATGAGACATCAGTAGACATTCTTACTCACAAATTTCTAAGTCAAAAACGAGCTACTTCGTTACCTAAACCAACTTACATACAAGCACAACAAGCAACTGCAAAAGTGTTACTAAATGAAATATGAGTCTCGTAAAAAATAGAACCACACTTAATTCCAACATTTTCATCTATTTCAGCACTTTTTTCTCCTGGGAAAACATCGTCAATCTTATTTTATTAACCTGAACTTTGTCTTGACAGCACAAATTATACCCAAATAAGCGTCTTTGATTGATTTCTGGCACCCAAAATTGATTCTCGACTCAGTCCTAATTACGCGTTTAGGAATGACCTGGTGATCCAAAATTGCATGAAAATACTGACGCCCGCGGGTCCCGGAATCATTGCGTCCAGAACATCAGAAAACGCTGTCTGAGGCTTTCGCTGCTGCCTCGGAGAACCCAGAAAGAGAGACTCTGAGACGAAGAGCCAGAAATGATTCCAAGGCTGATGTAACTGATTTATCCATTGGTGACTAGGCATGTGATAGGAAGAAACCACACCTTTCTTCAAGTAAACTGAAATAGACATAGGTCCTCTCACTAACCAGGGAGGTAGGCCGACTTCTACTGAACCAGATCATATCAAATTTTTGACTGAACCTACTGCCGATGACCAATCTGTACAAAATGATGAACCTGCACCACCAAGACGCTCAACCAGGACCACTGCACGGTTACATTCAAATCCATTTCATTTACCAAAGTCTGTAGTTAGTGAATCTACATTTGGTACAATCATAGTTACTTATCATCCAGATGCACAAAAGTTAACTCGTATTTAGGGGCCTTTTAAAAGTGTTCTATGTTTGGTTGTTGGGACACAAAGTGTGTGAGGGCTCAATACTCTCCACGCATGTGTCTTCATTCGTTTTTCGCCATACCTACAGATTTTAGAAGATTATACAAGATTTCATCCACTGTATAAGATTTGTTATCTTTGTTGAATTTGTAAGATTAGATTTTGTTGTATGTTGTGTTCGTATTTTTGACGAGGTTTTA